AGCACGTTCTCAGGCTGAAATAGAAAATGGTAGAACAGTGCATACAGAGCTGTTCATTGCTCACTTCTTCTGGCTCCACAAAGCATGCATTACACCCACCTTTTACTGACTGGTAGTATACAGATGACTCCAGAATAACAGACTCCAGAATTTGGAGAACTGCATCACGAGTTAGAATACTTTAGGAGTTCTCACATTCCCATTTCCACAGCATTCCTGTTTCCCTTTGTCTGCTGCAGCTGTTACTAGAAATAATTAGTGCAGGTCTTAATGTCAGGATAATGGATTATTTGGAAATTGCTGGTACATTTTATGGCGACAGCATTGTTTTGCAATTTCAGAGCTTCTTCCTTTGAATATGTAAAAGTAATTTCAGCTTTTGCTACCCAAAGTGATAAAAAGCTAATAATAACACTGCAGCATCTACTGTAATTTAAGAGCCTGTTCCACCAAGTTGCACCTAGCTTTAATTTTCTTATGAAGCTGTCAGCCAAACCCAAGCCTGTGATCGAAGGGAAATTTATCAAGCAACTGAGCTCCAACATGGAGAGTAACTGCAGGTGCTGACCAGTTCACTTCAGCCCTGCATTATGAGTGTCATTACACCCATGATGAGGCATTCAAGACCGAGGCATTAATTTGCTATCGTAGATGCTGACAGTCTGTCTTTTCAAAGCACAGTGTTTGCATGAAAGTCTATAAAGAAACGGACAGGTCTGACTTGATATAATTAACATGGGGAAAGCAGAAATAAACAATCTCTGCTTCTTTTGTCTCCCCAAATAGCTGGGTTGAAAGTTCTCTCCAGCAGCTCCTGGTTAAAGCATGGAACCGTGTCCAGAATCCGCACGCTACGGGCACGGTGGATTGATGAGCACGGATCCTCTGCTGCCAGTGCCCCGCTCCATTAGAAACCAGGCTGCTGTAATTAACATTTACAGGACTGCTCTGGCAAATCTCTCTGGTTTGTTTTTATTCAGCCTCCCCTCCCAGGGGCTGTACCCCTGTCTGGTGAAAGGATCTGCAGCCTTAGAGGCACAAAGGCTGTTGGGCAGTCACAAGTGCAGTGCCTGACGAGCAGAGATCCACTCGTTTACCATCACACAGAAAGGACTGAGCACAAATCAGATCAAGAGAAGGACAAAAATGGAAGGAGGTTTCTGTTAAGTAGCTGAACTTGTTCATCCCTTGGCAGGACAGTAGGAAACAGATTAAAGCAGCCCCTGCTGATACCGCTCACTAGACAGCAATAGCATGCAAGAACACCAATAAACAGCTACATCTTTAATAATCCCTAGCAGTAGCAAACTGCAAATCATTTGGCCTAGGAAGGGGGAACTGCCATCTTGGGTGCCAATATGACTTGAACTTCTGTCTGATGACCTGGTAATAACCTAAAAAACTTATAACAGCAATGTTTTGCCCCGGAATCTTTACTGCCTCCAATTCAGTGTATTTAATATGTAACTCACTGAATGCGTTTGAAAGGCATAATTAGCCCTCGCTATAGGGAGGTTTCCTGTTCTTAAATTAGATGTCAGTGACATTTTTGGTTCTCCTGCCATCCTAAGCTGGTCTCTCTGAGGAACAGTATTGATCCATAGAGGTATTTATGAGTAGCTCGGTGCCGTCGGAGCAGCACGTGCGTTTCTGGGCAGCAATCTGCGGTTACATCTCGGAGGTGAAGATAATCCTGAACACTCTAAACAGTGAGGTCAAGTCATTTTCATTCTGTGTTTTGTTTATACTGTCAAGATGTGAATTTAGCAGCAGTTAACACAGATGAGAGTTCAGCTAAGGAAGTGGACTCAATCCCTGAGCTGTAATCACGGGGTCTGGAGGAACTGTGAGCCACCTTCAGTGACCCCAGCAGACCCTGTCCTCGGCAGGAGTCCTGAAAGGCTGCTCAGAAAGGCTGCCTTGGCAGTCAGCTGCCTCCCCTAAGCTCCCTTGCTGGCAGGATTTGAATATTCTCACCGAGAGAAGGATGAGGGAACAGCACAGCCGCCCCTGCAGCGGCTGTACCAGCACCATGGGGCAGTGGTAGATGATCAGCACTGAACAATATTCATGTGCCAGTGTCCAAATTCAGCCCACTGTCAGGCTGAGCTGAACCTTCAGAGAGTTCCGCCACCTCATTCCTGGAAAGGAGAGAGGGACTGATGGTGGAAGGAAGTTTCTAGCGATGGAAAAAGCTTCTAATGGGCAACCATAAAGCCTTTAAAACACAGAAGGTAAACAGGAGAACAAAGCACAGCTGTGGGGTTTGGTGGGCTGCTTTTATCAAGTCATACTCCGGATTCATGGGCGCTGAACATCTGGGGTTTGCTGTGTTGAGACTGAGGTTTCATTTCTGTGCTAGTCTTCACACTAACACTTTTTTCTTTCCTAGCATGATCAGTGCTTTTTTGCCTTTTGAATGTCAGCAGTAGACTGAACATAACCATCTCTGACTCAGAGAAAAAGATTTAAGAGGGAAAACTCATTTAACTCAGAGTCTCTCAGCCAAAATCGTGGAGTGAGTAAGCAACAGGAACTCTGAGGAAACTGGAATAAAACGGGAAATCTTGATACTGTTGAAATTTGTGCCTTAGAAACCAAATAGAGGATTGAAAAATATTTTGAACTGAATTGAAAGTTAAGCTATTTTTATTTATTTTTAAGAAAGGAGAAAACAGAGCATTTTAAATAAAATGCCAATTTTGCACAATTAGATCCCAAATTAGAACTGGCCACGAATAGCATGGGAAGATCCTCTGCTGTGAAGACAGAGAGAGAATTCAGAATGGAGTCCTTCCCCTGGAAAGGATGAAGGCAGAAGTTTCTAATGTATTATTTAACGCTTGTTATGTAGTGCATTAAGCAGTCACTGAGAGGAAAGCTTTTAAAAACCAACATTCTCTCTGATAGCATTAAATCTTACCTTAGATTTCTGTTCAAGTCAATAGTAAGGAAATAAACGAATTAATACATTTCAGTCTGGCCGATTTATAGACGCCAATCAAGTTACAATGCTGGACATAGCCAGCTGAAAGAGGGGAATAGATTTACCTGAGTGAGGGCTTAATTTAATCAGCTGGCCCCAGAGAGCTGAAGTCAGCAGGCTGGGATGATATAAGAGGCAGCAGAGAAATAGTGCCTTTACAGCAGTTGCAAAGGAGAGTGACAGTGATGGAAAGGACTCGAGGCAGTGTCAGAACACACCTATTTCCATGATTTATTCTTAATTTACTTTAATGACAGTCTGAAGGTTGTCCATTTTTCTTTAAATGTCCTCAGAATACTGATATTTTCTAAACAATTTGAGCATGCTTTTTCTCCCCCTCCTTTCTGTGAGCTCCACTGCAAGTGGGAATCACAGAGAAGCTCTGCCTGCACTTTGCCATAAGGAATTTTGAGCAAAATGTCAGAATTCCCTTTTCCCAAAGTGTGCCTTGCCAGCTGCTGTCCCTTCACTGCAGTCCCTCTTGAGTCAGGTGTAGGAATCACACATTCCTCCAGGATTAATGTTGATATTATGGTAAAATGGAGGAATTCATTGCATTTCTTCTGCAGTTTATTCTGGCAAAAGAACAATGTGTGCTTTCCCAATACAATAGCTCATTTTTAGTATCAAGTGAATTTATTGATGGTTCTTCAGAACTACTGACATGCAGACAATGATCTCAGATTGCATTTACATTTCTGGAATACTTTCCATCTTTCCAGTTTCTGCCAGGAACTTGCTTCTGTGATTCAGAGTTTTCATTTTAAGATTGGACTGCTGTTTCATCTGCATTACAAATCCATGCCTTTTGCTTTCTTTTGTATGTGCACTGCATTCATTAGTATCACAAATCCTTTAAACTTGGACCTGAGCATTTATTGTTAATTATAAATTCTTCTAGGTAGGCATTTGTTCTTTCTGAGCACTCAGCTATACTTTTATAGATTGACTATAAAATCATCATCCCTTCAGCCGATGAAACAGTCCTTTTGTTTGTTTGTTTGTTTGTTATTTCTTCACAATGCCAGTGAGAGGGTTTAAGGACAATATGGTCTCAGTAATATTTGCAAATAGCTTGGAAATGTCTACATAACTGAAGATTTATTATTTTCTCCCTTTTAAAAAAATCCATGTTTTTGCAATAAAGGGCTACTCCTACTTTCTTCTGAATCCAATTCTTTATATAAAAATACATGGAATTGCCTCAAAATGCATCTGGAAGGAGAAGCCTTCCAGTGCTTAAAGGAGACTTACAAAAAATGGGGAGAGTGACCCTTTACACAGGGAGACAGTGAAAAGGATGAGGGCTAGTGATTTTAAATGAAAATACCAGAGATTTAGGTTAAATACTAGAAAAAAGTTCTGTACTCAGAGGGTGGAGAGGCCCTGGCACAGGTTGCCCAGATAAGCTGTGGATGCCCCATCCCTGGAAATGTCCCAGGCCAGGCTGGATGGGGCTTGGAGCAGCCTGGGACAGTGGAAGATGTCCCTGGCCATGGCAGGGGGGTGGAACAAAGTGATCTTTAAGGTCCCTTCCAACCCAAATCCTTCTGGGATTCTGTTAAGTCAATATCCAATCTCCAGCAGCAGCCCAGCAGCCTGGAGGGTGTTTCAGTGTGATGTGTTACAAAACCACTCGATCCTAGCACCACATTTTAAAGCATGAGCTGGTTCCCAGCCCAGGTGAAACTCAAGGTACTTTCTGTGAGAGAAGATCAGGTTCTGAACCCAGGCACTGCAATGCAGAATACCTATTATTCTGCTCAGGCTGTGTCTGTGAGCAGCCAAGGAGAGCCAGGCAGGCAGAGAAGACTTGTTGAGCAGAACAGGGGGTGCTGAGGACGGAGCAGCCACGCTGAGCCCAACTAAAATGAGTGCAAGTGCCCCATCAGTGTCCATCCACGTTTCAGTTACTCAGAGTGAGTGTACAACATGTTCCAGCAATATTTAAAATACGTTCAAGCACTATTTAAAAGATGTGTGATTAACCTCATGTTTAATTTCATGTTTCCAGATGTACTCAAGGACAAGAAAACCCATCCAGAAAACAGAAACGAACTAAAACCAACAGTGAAAAAGATTGACACCACAACCACCACAAGCATTGTCAAGTCATCCTCCAAACACAGTGTAACTGGAAATGGGAGCAGCCCAGCCCTGAGTCCCTCCCTCGCTGTTCTGGCAGCACTGGCAGCTCTGTGGCTCTGTCCCCTGTAGCTGCATTGCCCTGCAGATGCTGTGCTAGTGCTCCTGTTCACTGTCATTGATACCTGCAGCCTTACCTGGCGGGAAACAAATGGAAATGGCTCTCTAGTTGATGTGATTTGTTAGGATAAATAAGAAGTGAAATGCTGGAGTTGGCAGATACCAAGTGTCATCACTTAAAATGTCTGAAGATAGCCTTTGGCAAAGCCCACCCAAGGTACAGCGAGGATGATCACAAGGGTCTGAGTAGCTTAAGTTATGGGGTAGAAATAACTGAAAACACAGAAATTGTGAATGTGTGCGTTACTGTTTTTATCGATTTCGTTCGCTAGACTCTGACTGGCTGTTTTTTGTTTAATTTTTCTGGTAAGTTATATGAGTGGTCAGTCTTCAAATTCAAGGCAATCCATACTTTGTTTTTTTAGTGAACAGCTAACAAGCTGTGCTACAGTTCATAGAATCCCAGAATGTTATGGGGCTGGGATGGACCTTAAAGATCAGCGAGTGCCAGCCCCGGTACCAGGTTGCTCCCCGTACGGTGAAGAGCTCTCTACCAGCTTGGTGAAATTCCTAAATGGTCAAGAAGATCAAAGCATGTTTGAAACTTCTTTTCACTCTTACTGTTTAGATTGTAGGAAGCGACATAAAAACATATGGTGTGTCTAATATATCAGTATAGTTGCCTTAACTGTGGAAAAAAATAGAACCACTTTGTTTACTGAGGGACATAGATAGTGAGTTTCCCTGCCCCACAAAATGTCATTACCAGATGCTTAAGCATATGCTCAAGGCTTATTGGATGAATGTCCAGCAAAGGGAAACATAAATAAACATAAAAATGTTTTATCCACTTGAATGCAGCTCTGTACAGAAAAGGAAAAAGAAAAAAAATTCAGTTCAAACTTACTTTGCCTATGAGATGTTACATAGAAACCAACTTAAGTTTTCCATAAAGATCCCAGAGATATAAATTATTGGGAATTCCCATTAGACACTAACTAGATTTTGTGTATTATGGATCTCTGAAATGAACTGTTTCATAAACTGTGTATTATTTAATTACATTTACTGTTTAAAATTTTTGTATCACATTAGGTGTAAATGTAAAACATTCTGAAATCTAGAACATTCTCTGTTATGCTTCATCTTGATTGCTACCCTAGAAAATGTCAAATGTGCATTATATTACAAGGCTATTTTTTTTAAGTCAATGATACATTGATGCATTTTAACTTTTTGGATGAAAAAGTACTATAATAACTTCTAATGGGTTAAGAGTTAATGTGTGTTTTCCAACAACTGTTTACAGTGCCATTGAATATATGTATACAAACACAACTGTATTAATACAGTGATTAATATGATAAATATATGAAACATTAGAATTATTACATAACTGTTACAACGTTTAATGGCCATTTTCATGTTGTAGACTATTCTTATGTACAGTTTTGTAAGATTTAATGTAAAACACTTGCCTTTGGCTTTTTGTAAGACATCTCTTTGATAGTTGGCGTTACCCAGTCACTGAGATTACTCAGAGGAGGAGCCCTGGATCTCACTAACCAGCTTCAGGCATTTTATTGGCACCTTTGATTCTAGAAGCCTGACTCAAAGAAGGTGCCATGGGCCAGGATTACTGCTGGGTGTCACCACACAGGAGGTGACAATAGTACAGAACAAGCACACAGTAAGTCAACAAAGCTCACTACGCTCACACATTTCCAGACAGCATCAGTGAACATGTCTAATTATGTTTGCAAACGTGGGGCTTGAGTTTCATTTCCAGATTTGGTTCCGAGATCATATTTATGACATAAAGGTATGATCAGAGCCATGGATGCACCCAGCTGCAAAGGCAGCGTCTCTGAAGTGGCAGCAGCTAAATTTTCTAAAAGATAATTTGATTTTAGTGTTACAGAGGTAAAATGGAGAAGATATTTACATTAAATATTTTATATTTTAACTCTGATTTTTTCACAATGGTAAGGATATTAGTATCACTAAGGAGTGCTTCCCAGTCCAATCAGTGAAAATCAGTTTTCCCAAACGTATTGAAACGGCTGTCCTGTGTTTTCCAGGGTTTGTGAGCTGCACCAATCTATGGAACATTAATTAAAAATGCTGGTTTTTGTATTCATTTCTGGTGCCCTTTGGAAAAGTGCTGTTTTACCTGCAGAGGCGTGCAGGTCCCATCGTTTGTGCAGTGGAAGGACTCTGTAATGCCTGTCAGAATCCTGCACTGTGGTGCTGAGTGAGACAGGAGCTGTGTGTGCACACAGAGATGGACCTGGCTGCTCACACTCAGCACCCGCCCCCAGCTCACACCAAGCACTGTGGCCTCACTGCAGCAATTCCAGCCCCATTTGGTGTCCTCACACTTAGAGTGCTCAGTCATCCTTCAGGCCCTGAAAGTGTCAGTCAGAATTCCTATGGATAGGAGTTTCAGGGCTGGGCTCCAATCCTGGCAGATGTCAGCTGTGCAGTTTGGAGTTCCCAGGTTTTCCTCACCTGCAGAGAGGGAACTCGAAGAGCCAGAGCCAGGTGTGTGTGTCTGAGGTCTGTTCTGGAAAAGGTTTCAGCGGCGATCCCACCAGCCACGTGTTCAGCAGAAGGCCCCCAGGAGCAAATATGTGATAATTCACTCAGGGGGTTATTTGTTGTTGCTAAATGTCATCATTTGGCTAAACAGAAACCTCTGAAAAATCAAGGGTTTGGATTTGGGGATTGGTTGGCAAATGTGTGTATTCAACAAGTAAACCCTTTAAAAGTTTCTATAACAAAACACAACAAGTTCAACTCATGGGATGAGATAGAATCAACTCATTTCCTTGGACTCAAACAATATTTTTTTAGGCACAACTTGATGCAGAATGAGGGAAGAGGGCTCTACATCACTTAATACATTTCATGCAAAAACACTTCTACACTGTAAGAAGAGTACTGGTCAAACCAGCATGAAATATGTTCACAGTGAGCATCAAAAATGGTGCCATTTTAAAGGGCAGTGCAGTTTCTTTTTACTAGTGGTTTATGATTATTTTTCTCCCTCAAGATCAGTTGCATTTACATATTTCAAAAAGAATGTTTTCCATCCAACAAACCATCTATACCAGCATAAGCAAAACCAACTGGCTGTGTCAGATAAAGGAAGCATTCATTTTCAGATGAATAAGATACCTGCTTTACAAAGTCTTAGTTTGTTACCCAGGACACTGTAATTATGATGTAATTACAAAGGTCTAAATTCAAAATACTTTTGAACTTGTATATGTAATCTCAGTGTAAAATAAGGTACCAGTCTAAGAACATTGCTATAGCCTTGCCTAACAGTTATGAATTGTATTTAGCCACTGCTTTCTGATTGTTTATTGTTTTACTATGACTTTCTTTGAATATTTTGCTGTGCCCACATTTGTGAATGCCAGCGTTGGAAAATAACTGCTGTCATACATTTGTGAGTAAAATCAATGTACAATTTTCTCTTGGGAGTGATGCAGGCTTTTTACCAAATGAGACAAAGCTGCCATGGGCACAGTGTCACTTCTTAGTGTTTCACTGCTCTTCAGGCTCTGTGCTCCTGTAAGAGGCTCAGGCCTGTGGGTTTCCAGTGCCCTTCCTGGCTGTGAAAGCACATGAGGAGGATGAGTGTGGGTGGGCACAGGCGTGGGTGGCTGCAGGGTGCCAGGGCATGGCAGCCTCCAGCTGGCTGCTCTGAGCCCTGAGCCCAGTGTTCTCAGCTAATTCCAAGCAGCTTTTACACCTCTCCAAATCATCTCTTGGAGACTGGCCAGGCAAAGAGCAGCAGAGAATCAAGAGACTGCACTTTCAGACAACTTCACAGCCACCTGCTAGGAATTGGACTTTTTTTGCAGTTTAGATGCTTTACACAGTCTGGCCTCTCACACTTTTTTCTGGCTTGCACATTGCCAGTGCTGTGCCCTGTCTTCTGGTGCAACTTCGTTATTGCATAAGGAGCTGTGATTCTGATGTCTCAGTAATGAACCTTTTGAGGTAAAAATGTCTGTCAGAGCTTGATAAGGGCACACAAATAATACTGTCCAGCTGTGTTGACTTCAGAGGCTCTGTGTGTGGGTGTCTGGCTGTGAGATTCACATCTCTCTGATCTCTTAGATCTGTGATTAAAATAGCCCTGTTTCCTTTTGAAACCAAGATTGCAACATATAGAAAAGATTTAAATTTGACTCTCTCATCCTGTATGAGTCTTCTCCATGTTGGCCTAATGGATGTTGTGTACAGACTTGATTTAAATATTAGTCAAGCCTTTTTGCTCATATTAACTGAGTTATTCAGTATTACACATTATTAGGTTGAAGAAAGGTCTGTTCAAATGAAAGGAGCTGAAACACACCCCTAAATGTATTTTTGAACTGAGATACTGACTAGGACAAAAAAATCCAGAAAGTTCCTAGTTCCTGAATTGAACTCTTCACGTTAAAGAGTCAAATTTCCTAGCTAGCATGATGTCAGAGGGATTTCAGCTTTTTATTGGAAATAGATAAGCACTCTACCCATTTAAAAGTGGAAATCAATTGATAAGCTTGCTTTCCTCATGTCTCCTCACATAGTCAAGTTTAGTTCTGTAGGAGACATTTCCAATCTTGCACACTCTAAGTGCTTAATGTTACAACTGGCCATAAGTACAAAGCATTTATTTTCATTTATAGCATCTCACTACTCTCGGTGCTTCTTGTAATGACATATGGCATACGTGTCAGTGAAAAGTGGAACGTCTTCCAGTCCATGTCATTACTGCTCTGCCATGTGTTAGTCAAAAAGAACACAAGTATATCTTCCTCCCATTGCCTCAGCAGTGTAGAATTATTCTCAATACTGAATTATCTTCTGTTTTCCATTGTTGCTCTCTAAATAACTCCATTTGAATTGTATTAAATATTAAGCCACCAAAAAAATAAATGCTGGGTGAGAGATTGTAATAAATAGAGAATAAATTCAGAAAAAGTTCTTGCATTTAACAAAAAGAATACTCCTAGGAAAGAAATCACCCATGGTGGTCTAGAACAATTTTTCGAGTCCCTCTCCCTTCTCCAGGTCCATCACCATTCCACTTTCACACACAAAGCCTGCATGCAGGAAGCTGCTACTGAATTCAGCAAAGTGAATTAAAACTATTGCTGCACAGTGATATTTCCAATATCTTGCTTGCAGTGGATGTCCTTTTGCTGTTTGCAAGGAATGCATTCCAAATGCACGTGCAGCTGCTTCAGTCTTTACTCAGGAAGCAGCTGCAATTGCTGCAGCTTTCAGAAGAGGCTGCTGGACAGGCAGACATGCAATATTTTTGTTTCACTCCATGTCACTGTCCTTAAATAGACTGGTTTAGGCATTCTGGTCAATACCAACACTACAAGGATTTCCCCTCATGGAAATCCTGCCATTCCCTTCCAGGAGAAGAGCACATCAAAGAGAGGTCACTGGTGCTTCATTAAATACCCACCAACAACCACGCTGGTCTCTTATTTCCATGCACAAAGTGTTAATACCACCTTGCAAAATTATGCTGTTTGCACTTAATCATTTCAATTAATCTTTAGTAAATTACCCAGTACTTTGTAATTATAATATTTGCAGTTAATTTAGTGTCGTCTTAAAAATAATTAGTTGCATAATATAAGCAATTAATATTTATTCAGGTTTTTTTTTTTCTCTTGCAGGGAGATATATAAATTGTCCTCAGTGGCCTGTCTGTACACCTAATTAGCACCTGTTTGAATTATTCTACAGGCTATGGACATTTCATTTAAAAAATAAATGCATTGCTAGTTTTTTGAACTCCTTGCAAATACACAGTTGTAAAAATTGTTTTTCAGGGGAATGAAAAAGCACGTTTTCATACATCTTCTGGGTTTATATGCTAGGCTGGGCTTTTAGGCTATTGCACCTAAAATAGTTACTGACATTTTAAATGCAGTTAAAATGGAAGAAGTCTGATACCACTTTCCCATAATTAAGTATGGTATCCCAGATTTGTAGCCTGATTTATACAGTAATGAAAAAGGAAATCAGTAAGACTTCAAGAATATAGATACAAGTGTCATTTTATATTTCTGTATACGCATATACAGTTCAGAAGTTGAGAACACTGTGTTGAATTTGTGGAAATTAAGCCAGATTGCTTCAATCTTGCAAGGAAGCTTCTAGGTAAATAGTAATTTTCTATTTAAATGCACAGAATATTGAGAAAAATAATTTGATCTTTCTAAAAAGAAGATCTGAATAAACTGTTCACAATCTCCTCACATACAAAATTGAGAAATCAAAAATAAAGACAATTTTCTGGAGGTATGAAACATTGGAACAGACTTTCAGCTCCTATAAATCAGTGTAGTTCCTTTGATTTTAGTTTAACAATGTAAATTTACCCTGACATATATATCTAGCCCAAGAATGGGAATTCCTGCCCATCTTTTTGCAGAAAATCAAGAGTAACCGCAGGAATTACAAAATTTGCTTAACTTTTGCACTGCCCCTGCCACTGATGAGACCATGTCTCATGTCTGTAACACAGATCTGGAAGACATGGGATGCCCTAAATCTTCTGACATTTTCCCTTTCTAGGGCACAGCAGGGGCCTTTTCCAGAAGCAATTGGTTCTACACCTTGTAGCTGGGCTACAGGGAGATATTTATTCTGTGAGTATCTCCTGGGGTAGAGATTCTTTCTCAGAGAAGGTTTGCTGATAGAGATCAAGCTTTGAGGCAGATCAAGCCTGATTTTTCTGTTTCATGTTAAAACAGGATCCAGGTCTTGAACTGGTCTCAAAAAGGAAGAGAGACTCATTAGAGAAGACTGATGGTGGCTTTGATGTCTTCAGGGAAGCTTACACAGCACAGGGGACAAGCAGCTGTGTTCTGCCCCAGCTGAAGCTTGTGTGTCTTTGCATTCAGTTTCAGGTAAAATTATCCAGGAGATTCCAGATTAGCAAAATGACAAATTCCTGAGTTACTACCACCTGATGTTTTATAGTAAAGAAGTGAAATTTCTTCCTAAGCAGAAACAAACATTATTCTGTATTATGCTAAATATTCAACCTTGGAAGGAAATCAAAGCAGGATGTTAGGCCTCACAGAGACATTGATCCCCCTGAGTAGGGCATCAAGAGTTTACTTGATGGTCATGGAAGAGCACATCTACCCTTTACTTCTGTTTTGGGGCTAGAAAAAACCCTCAGGTTTATGGCTCACAGCTACAAACCATGTGTAGGCAAAAGCTGTAGACAAGTCCACAAAGCAGTTGTGCAGCCAGTGGGGGTCTCATTGAAAAATGAGAAGGTGCATTTAAGTGATTTATTTGAGCTTTTGCATTAGGGACGAGCAACAGGGTTGAAACCTCCTCCCAACACATTGCAGCTGCAGATGGGAGCAGGCTGTTGGAGCAGCAATACTACAGAAAATGTTTATTGCATCCCACTTATTCTATGGAGCCCTGTTGGAATAAAAATGGAAGCCAGCACACCAAACCTTGCAATTTGTGTTGCATAATACAGCTACTTGCTGTTCTTTGGTATCAGAACTAACACAGCATCAATGTTTACACTACACTGGGATAGAGACTCTAGTAAAATATGTGCTTTGCCATTTAGCTTTTAAATAACTAGTTTATGGCCTCCTACTCTATTTTAGTTCATTTTACTTTACACGAATTAATAGGCTGCTCCATTTGTATCTTACATTAGTTGTATCTTGGGTATTTTAAGTTCCAGAATAGATTGGTTTTGCCTTAAGCTGTATTCAAACTCTTAATACGTATTTCTATTTCCCAAACACGTGTTTTATTTGCAGTATATCTGCTTATATTTTTATTGCATAAATTTGTCAGTTTTCTTCAGTTTGTTTTCAGCATTGAATACAATAAAGGCAATTTAAAGATACAGTCTGAAAACAATGTCTTGAAAGAAGAACAAGGCTACTTTGAAAAGTTAAACAGCGTGCTTTGTAAAAGACAGTGAACTGTGATTGGGAATAAAAATAAATACTCCACAGCAGGAAATTGTCATTGTCTATTAAAATTTCTCTTCTTTCCCTCTGAGTGTTTTTCATCATCAGTGGGGTAAGTTAAAAAGCTTATAAAATCTTAAATATATTTTAATCTGTTCAGATGATACTTTGACTAAAGGATGCAGACCTTGTGAACTGCTGAGGAACTCAGTATTTTGGCCATAGTCTGGCAAGGAAAGGTCTGTTTCTTCAGCTCATATCTACGTTATTGTTCTTCTTTCTTTCTTGCAATAAGAATAGTCAGGGGTAAAGGTGTCTGCTCTCCTGGGAGCTCTCAATACCTCTGAAGAGATGCAATACTTGCAGTGGTCTCCTGGGTAAAGGCCACACACCTCCAACAACAAGCAGGGCTTTTCCAAAAAGCTGCCATTCGTACATAAACAGTCAGAACTGAGTTCTCTATTGAGAGAGTTCTTGCAGTCACTGTGTGCCCTATCAAAACCC